ATATTATATTATATTATATTATATTTTCCCCATTTTGAAGATTTAATGTGTCAGAATTTACATGACACTTCTATTTTCAACAAACAATAAAAGATTCACCAAAGTGGGGAAAAAAGTTTGAAACTACTTTACAGAATAAGGTTTTAAAACTAAGTATTTAAGTAAAGGTTTGTGATGTAAGTAAACCTGAGGTGAATAATCTAGATATGATTAAGCTGAGACACATTTGATAGATTTTTATTTGTCTTTTTGCATCTCAGTTTTTCAAACAGAAACCAAAATCAATGACGGATGTAGCTGCGAGCACTCTCCCTCCATATAATGCTAAAAGCCTATTAAAATGTGTGTGTGTGTGTGTGTGTGTGTGTGTGTGTGTGTGTGTGTGTGTGTAAAGGGAATCTAGAGGAGAGAGCAGGATGTATATTATGATAAACCTCTGACTCAGCACCAGAAAAAAACACTTCCTCTAATGTAACCCCTCCATGACTCCTCCCTCCCTCCCTCTTTTTCACACATTTAACCTTTAAAATGAGGTTGTATCTTAAAGTTTTCTAAAAAACATAAAGATAAGTGTGTTTGCAGTGCGATAACGAGTCATGTTGTAAATATACAGCGATCTGGTGCTGTGTGTGTACCGTTACACAATCTGCTCTTCTGACACTTTCTCCAACGTTTCCAAAGTCCCATAAAATATGCAAACAAGAGCTTAATCAGCATTAATGAAAACAACTTCCAGCTCTGCTGATCATTAGTCCCAGAGACATCCAGGCTGATATTTTTGTGTTGTTGTTTTTTTCAGCCTGACTTTTGGATGAAACAAAAGGTAACAAGTAGTTTTGATTCGATCAAGTGTGACTCATAATGTTCGCAGAGACAAATGAAGGTGATAATTAGATAAAACAGAGTGCTCTGTCAACACTGAACAGTGTTAAATACTCCATTATTCCACCAGGAGACTTCAAAACCATTAACTCTTCTTTGTGAAATTAAAAGCCTGGAATCAGTTGAAGGAGCTGATTTCACACTGACAGCATTTGTGTCGAGGAATAATGATGTTGTAGTTGTTTTAATAAAAACATGATCTGTTAGCAGTATTGTGTTGTAGTTGTCTGTCAGTTACCACAACAAATGTGACCTTAATTGTTGAACTGACAGAGTTATTGCTATGTTTGTGTTTAGGATCTGTTTGCTGTGGCAGCCATCTTGTATCAACATGTATTAGTTGTAGAAGTCAATCAAATTATTACTTTCTGAGAGTTTCATTAAATTTTGTTATTAAAAATTGCATATTAATATATAAATTCTGAATTCCTATGTGGCCCATGAGAGCTTCAAAGACGTATCTTATAATAAGCTGCTTTAAACATTCATCATAAAATAATCTCCTGTAATACATGTGGATTATTTACCCCTCCCACCACTAGGTGGAGCTACACTGGGTTCATAAGCAGCTGATGAAATCYGCTGTGTAACATTTCAGTTTTACTGCATTTTCACCAGTTCCTTTTGCTGCAGCCCAGCTGTACTGGGATGTGGGCTTTTCCCACTTACAAGTTGTAAATTTAAACAGGAAGTGGGAGTTCCCTGTGGAAAAGTGGGAAAGTTCAGAATTCAAGACGGCAGCAACTTACCACAACTCGACTAAAACCTACTTTTACTTTTAATGGTATTTCTGTTTTATTTATTTTACATTTAGTTAGCCGTACACACAGTACTTTTCAGTGTTTATAAGACGATGTGTTAAAACTCTGTTTCTATGCAGGAAACACCAGGTAGAGCTCAGTTATTGTTTGTTAGCAGTGCTCAGCTGTAACAAAGAGACGAGGAACRTGACGTTTTTAATTACAACTGGCCCTTTGAGGACCACCTTAAAGCTCATGTGACCCTCTGTGAAAAAAACATTAGTGAAACAATTAGTTTCTGCTAAATGAGGTTTTTCCAACTTTAAGTCTGCTAACAGCTAACAGCTAACTAACAAGCTAACAGGTTTGTGTCAGACACACAATAGCCTTAGCGTTTAGCAATTAGCTGTTGGTGTTAGCGTCCACTCTWTTTACCTCACATATTTAGCAGCTTAGCATCAACAAAGTCCTGTTTTTTAGTTCGCAGATTATGAGTTAGTGAAGGTAACTTTTAGGTTAGCTGTGTCCACCACGGAGAAAAGCTAAAAATAGGTAAGTTAGGAAAAGAAACGAGGAGAAAAGAAGTGTGGAGGGAGGAGAGGAAAAGGAAGAGTGAATGATAAGCTCTGGAACAAAAGGAAAACAGGCATGAAAAGCTAATTAGTTTGACCTAAATGGCAACAAGACCTGAATCTGAAAACACACACACACACACACACACACACACACACACACAGTTTGGACTCACCTCAGTCCGTGACAGGTTGACAGAGCCACGAAGGACTCAGGAACATGTCGGACCTCTCCCTGGTAGTAGCAGTGCTCTCCTCCCTGTGTGCGAYACACAAACATGTTTGTAACACTTTATCACACTTGTGTCGATATCCAATCAACAAAAGAGTCCAGAGCCATCAGTCACACTCACTGTCATTTGCTAAAAGGTGCAGGTGTAAGCATGATGTGTTTGATTGAGCGACTCTTGGTGTGACACCATGTGGGTCTGACTGTCCCTCAGTCTTGTCTGAAGGAGCTGTATCTCTGCACTCATCATGTGTTGTAGGTTTTCTGTCTGCCTCCAGCTGCCTGTGTGTGAATGAGCAGACTGTCTGCAGATGATGTCTGAGTGCTCTGCTGGACGGCTCTTCCTGGTCCGAACAGCCATTAGGAGGAAGCTGGTCTCCCTGAGGAAACACAGCTTTTATCCAGGATCAATTTCTGCTCCAAACTTTGATGCTGAGGAAGGCAGCGCACTCCGCCGCTCGCWTCTTCCTTCAAGCCTCACCTCAAACATTGGTTTTTATAAAGCTACACTGAAAACTGGAAACTTGAACCGCAGGAATGATGAACCTGCTGCAGGACTGTTCCAGTAAACTGGTCCAGTAAACTGCACCAGTAAACTGTTCCAGTAAACTGTTCCAGTAAACTGGTCCAGTAAACTGC